GGGCCTGTTCAGTGTTCTCTTCCTTCGTCGCAGGCTCCACTTATACCAGTGGAGCGCACTCTTCATTGTCGTCCTAGGTGTTGCTATTGTGGGTCTTTCTGGTGCTCTATACAGTGGTGAGTCAGACCATGATATCAACCAGAATGCGAGTGCTACCGATATGGCCTCGCGTGCTCTAATGCAGGCGCGTGATGTCGCTCGGACCTCTGAGGCTGTCCAGACTATCATTGGTGTACTGCTTATTGCTGCAGCGCAGATCTTCACAGCCACACAGTTTGTGCTGGAGGAGTGGATTCTGGAGCATTACGCCATGGAACCGATCCATGTCGTAGGTTGGGAAGGTATCTTCGGCTTTTTGGTTACTTCCGTCGGCATGGTGATCATGTATCTTATTGTTGGACGGACCGATGCCGGCCGATATGGCTACTTTGATATGAAGCAGGGGTTGCACGAGCTTCTTCATAACCGTGCTGTTGCCATATCCAGCGTGTTTATCATGATCAGTATCGGGTATGTGTTTATATTGATTCTCAACTCCCTGTTCCCGCCCTTCCCTCTAATGTTTATTCCAGTGGCTTCAACTTCTTCGGTCTGTCCGTCACCCGCACTGTCTCTGCTACCTCTCGTAGCACAATCGATACCTGCCGCACGCTGTTCATCTGGCTCGTCTCGCTTGGACTCGGCTGGGAGACCTTCAAATGGCTCCAAGTTGTCGGTTTCGCGCTTCTTGTCTATGGAACTTTCATGTTCAATGACATCGTCCGTCCTCCGATCAAGGCTTGTTTGCCCCGTGACCGGAGAGAGGGAGAGGTGCTACTTCCCGAAGGCCCCATTGAGCACATCTGATTAGCCTGGCTACTTGTTTTGGACTTGCTCTCGATGTTATATACCATTCTGGTTCTCGACATGTTCTGGCTCTGCCTTATAGATTGGACTCATTTGGATTTTGGATAGATCATACGATCTTGCATTCCTTTGTTCCTTGTGATGGAGTTGATTGCGTCTTTGTTTCTTTGGGATTATATACTGGTTTTTGGTCTTTTCTTGCGGAGGCTGCAGTTGATCTGAGTTTTTTGAAGTCATAGAGCCTTTTGCTTTCTGTCGTCTATTGCATTCTGGTTTGTGTTTTTGGATTTAGTCTGCATCATAGGTGTCACAATGCACTTTGACACCTATAGTATCTAACGAGTACATACCTGTAGGAACACACTACTAGTACGATTCTGATATGGGCCCATTAATTACATGGACTCGATGCAATACACCCTGTACTTTCTTATACGCTAAAACTTTCATCTGAAGCATGTACAATAAGAAAAACCCCTCCCTCCAAGTAGTGAAACGAAGTACAAGATAAAAGGAAATCAACGGCAAAAAAAGATATGTCTAGATAGATAGCGAAGCAGGGTGCAGAGAACCGGGTGTATAGAACTGGATTTGACTGTTCATGGGAAAATTAAACATGCATTTTAGCACCACTGCCACCGATTTGATCTACGGCTCGGACCAGTCCACTTGGTCGGTGACAGGGTCTCCACCGTCGCGGGCGGAAGTGACACGAAGACGGAGGCGAAGTTTGGCAGGAAGACCCTGGAGGTAATAGGTTAGTCTGAGACTCAAAAGAAAGTAAGAGTGTAGGATAGGAAGGAGAAGCTGGACATACTGCATTCAGAGCGGTCACACGCAGTGATTGCGTGCCCTCCTCGCCGGCCTCTAGATCAGCCTTGGTAATTGCACTCAGCTGCAACCGCTGGCTCTTTGGCACGGCAGCTTGCAAGCCGACGCTCGTAAATCGGTCGAAGTTGGAGTCGTTGCGGAAGCGGGCCAGTATCTGGGCGTTGTTGCCGCTCCGCTGAACCTGCAAAGTAAGGACGAGGCCGTCCTTGTTGAGCGCGGTGTGCGCAGGGGTCGAAGAAGTGACAGGCGCGGGAGAGGTGGTGGGCGAAGGCGCAGAGGCACCCATGCCTCCTGCGCCTAGCAGATCCATCGAGGCGGATGTGGGTTGTGTGGGCTGAGGGGATGGCGAAGGACCGTTGGAGCCAAACAAGTCCATGATGGCGCTGTTCGGTTTCTTTTGGCCAGCTGGCCCCGGCGACGGGGATGACATGCCTGAGTCTCCGCCAAGAATGTCTGCCAGCAGATCGGCGGTGTTCGATCCGTTCGAGGTAGGGCTCGTGATAGGGGCGTCGGATCCACCAACCAGGTCAAGGAGCAGGTCGTGCTCTGCAGGTTTGGCTACCTTTGTCGTCGACTTCCCACGGAGAAGCTTACTCTGACGTTTCTTAGCAGCGGGAGCAGCACCCAGTACCCGCTGTTCCTCACGGATCTCAGGCGGGGGCATCCGCTCGAGCACGCCACGACGAATTTGATCGTAACCGAAAAGGTTGGTGTATTCAACGGCACGCTGTTGAATTTCAACACTCAGGTCCGCGGTTCGGCTGGAAAGCAAACGGCGTAGGCGTTCAATTTGAGCGGGATCCGACATGCGCACAGTAAGCTTCATGGATGCAGTGATGATGTATTCGACAGCAATCTGGGAGGCGTAGGTGCTGTTGAGAATGTTGGTGAAGAGGTCAACGATATCACTCTCCCGAACCTCCTTGACCAGTTCCTCTTCCTCGTACTGACCGCCCTGAAGGAGACTATCGGCATATTCACCAATGGTCCATGTCGCAGCCAATGTGAGACCTTCTTGTGAGATGTCCTCCTTCAATGACGAGTACAGCTTTTGTACAGCGTAGGTCTGCAGATCAGGGGTGGTCGCAATGAGACGGACGAATGAGGACAGGATCTGTTCTTTGACGTAGTTCCCAGCCAGCTTGAGAACGCGCAGAATGGTGTCCATGTGCCACCGCTTGTTGGGTGCGAACCGATCGGCCGCGATACCTATCTGTGTCGTCATGACGGACTTGAATTCGTTGTCGGCCACCTCCAGGAAGGCCAGCAGTTCCCGCACCAGCACCCGCACATTATCTTCGTTGATTAACATGAAGCTGAGATCAAGCGCTCGCCGGCGAATGCTAATATCAGGATCCCGCAGGCATTCCAAGATCGTGTTGCGATGTCTCTGCACTGCATTTGGTTCAATTGCAACAACCTTATTCAGGGTGTTCAACGCAACGTAGCGGATATTATTGTCCTTGTTAGCCAGGAATTTGCCGAGAATATTGACGCCCAGCACTCTCAGACCAGAGTCGGCTTCAATATCCAGAATCGTAAGAACAGCCTCATATAGAATAGAGTTGCCGACGTTCTTTGAGGAATCCGTATTGGTGGCCACCTGGGCCAGGATGTCGTTGATCAATTCGCTGGTGGCCACATCTCCGCGACCCAATACACGCAAGAACCGTAGGATCTTGACTTGGAGGAAAGGATCTGTGATGCCGGACACATCATGCTCGGGAGCATAACCGGAGGTTGTCAGGCCCTTCAAAGCGCGAACCAGTCCTCCAGCCAAAGGCCGGAACATTTCGATCACGCCCACTGGTCCTCCTTCCTCCTCCTCCTCTTCTTCCGCTTCACATAGATCAATCGCTAGTGTCAGTCCACAGAGAAGAACGCCATGGTTCCGATCCGACAGCAGGTTCTTAGCTTTCTCGAGGAAGTGCTCGTACAGATCTGGAACCTTGCGACATATCCGCATGGCACAGATCGCTGCTTTCCGTCGAATATAGGGGTTGGCGGTCGACATAAGGGTCTCGACTTCGGGGAACAGATCACGAGACATTTCAACCGAGGCAATGTTTCCGAGGGTACAGAGAGCGAGACCGACGATGTATTGGTTGGAGTGGTTAAGGTCACTGCGTTTTAGTTAGCACAGCATCAGCCAAGTCAACTACAGTGAGACTTACTTTTTCAAAGAATTGGTCACCAGTGTTAGCACTTCTTGGTTCTCATCCAGCAATAGCATGGTCCCCAGATACCCCAACCGCTTGTCAGCGAATCGGTGTGAGGCGAGTAGTTTCAGACATTCGATTTGGCCGAAGTGAGTGCGTTCTCCGAGAGTAAACAGATACAAGAGCTTGGCGACATTATTTCTCCTATCAATTATTAGAGGTCGATTGAGTAATTTATTGAGGTGGATGGTGAAGCTAACCGGATGCTGGAGTCATGGCTCTCTTCGCGAAACGAGGCGCGAATAGCGGCGCTTTCTTTTTGGATAACCGCACGTTCATCGGCGATGGTCTTTGCTGATCGGACATTACGGATGAATTGCTTGACTGTAGATAGATTGGATCGCATGGTCAGAATGCATCTCAGGGGAGAGGAGGGGCGGCGGGCAGCACTTACGGGAAGACATGGCGGCCAGAGGGACCCCCGGCGGGGCGAGGAGGGGAGATATTCAATGGAGAAGGACGGACGATATCAGGTGCAAGTAGGTGAACCAAGCACCACACTCATAGAACCAATGGAATAAAAGAAATCTCAAGGTTGTTGGTCTGGAGGTCTCGATTGTTGTATTATTATTCCTCATGGCAAGTCGACCTGGCATCTTGGCATGGGGGCACTAGTATGGAAGAGGATTAGCTCGGCTACCATGGATCACATGACTCTTTGATACCATTCAGCTACACCGCCTTTGAATAGATACCTGAGGCGGAAATATGAGATAAGTGGGAGATTTATTGCACAACCTTGGAGGTACTACAATACAGGCATATAAAGGACGAAGTATAAATGCATTCTTGTCACAAGAGAAAAGACAGCGGTTAACTTGCGTCAAAGTAGAATATACGGACAGGACAAAGGACATGTGAACATCTCAACAATCTAACAGTTTGTATCTCTAAATACATCTGCCTAGCCCATATGCATACTAGTGTATACCGTATATAGTACAATAAAGGGAGTCTGACGTAGTGGCCCGTGACTTTTAGTTTCGAGTTTCGAGTCCCAACAGATCCAAACAGAGCTCCCACATATTCTTAGGTGTTTCCAAGTTTCTATCCCAGTGTCTTCAATGTGCAAACCACCTGCTTCTGCAATTGTATCCATATAGGATGTCTAGCGCCGTCTCGCAGAATGAATCTGCAACTTCACGGCCGCGCGCCGTGCCGACCCAGCCGAATGGAACGTCCGGCATGGCTCTCGCTCTGCCAGTCGATAAACTAGCCCAGGACACAAGGTGAGATCTCAATTTGCACGACCGGGCTAGGTTTAAGGCAACTAATCTATATGTCGCATCCGCAGTGGCCGCTCGACCCCTGTTTCCGAAGATGCTCCCCCGTCCGCGCATTCGATCTCATCCGCGAGGAAGCAAGTCCGCGCCCGCAATCGCCTGTTTTATACTATAAACTATGTACCTCGCGTGTCACATTTTGATCCCGATAGCGATTATCATAATTTCCGAGGGTTCTTTACTCTCTTTTGGATTGGCTTGGCCATCATGGTCGGGACCAGCATCTTGCGCAATATCAAGGATACCGGATACCCCCTACAGGTGCGCGTTTGGAGTCTCTTGACGGCCAATGTGTGGGGGATGGGGCTCAGCGATGCGGCCATGGTGATAAGCTCAGTACTCGTCTTGCCTATGCACCGGCTGTGGCGGGGTGGTCCGCAGTGGCTTCGATGGTCGCGCGGGGGTATAATCTTACAGAGCTTGGGGGAGGCATTTTGGCTGGTTCTATGGATAAAGTGAGTTTGTGGCTTGTCTAAAACTCGGAGGAGCGCTGACAGGAAAAACCAGCTGGCCCTTCATGATGCGATGGACCTGGACTGCGCAGGTGTTCTTCACGCTGCATACTCTGACCATTCTAATGAAACTGCATTCATACGCTTTCTATAACGGGCATCTCAGCGAGACGCAGCGCCGCCTTGCCTCCCTCGATAAGCCAGGCCCAAAGACGCCTGAGCCCCCGGCTGCCATTCATTACCCGGAGGTACACCGACGTCGACAGTCAATGAAGCAGCGTGACGAGGACCAGTCCACAGAGCCACTAGAGAGGCTTCGCGAAGACCTGGCCACGGAGTTGACCTCCCCGCTAGGCAACATCTCATACCCGCAGAACCTGCACCTTGGAAACTATGTTGACTTCCTCTTTTGTCCGACTCTTTGCTATGAGCTAGAGTATCCCCGCCGAAAGGAGCGACGATGGTCAGAAATTGGCTGGAAGGCCGCTGCTGTATTTGGTTGCATCTTCCTGCTCACCCTGACAAGCGAGGAATTCATCGTCCCCGTTTTGGCAGAGGCCAATGCCCAACTCCGTGTTGTCTCCAACGCCACAGACAAGGCTCTCGTCCTTGCCGAAACCATAAGCATGCTCCTCTTTCCCTTCATGATCATATTCCTGCTGGTGTTCCTCGTCATCTTCGAATATGTGCTGGGTGCGTTTGCAGAGCTCACTCGGTTCGCCGATCGTCACTTCTACGCAGACTGGTGGAATTCCTGTGACTGGTAAGTTAAAACTGCGGTTTTATGCGTTCGGGTAATGCGATTGACCGATTTTTACCTAGGATGGAATTTTCCCGCGAGTGGAACGTCCCTGTCCACCACTTCCTCTTCCGCCACGTCTACTGGCCCGCTCGATGTAACTTCTCCCAGCCTGTGGCTATGGTTATAACATTCCTGGTCAGCTCTATATTCCACGAGCTAGTCATGAGCTGCATCACCAAGAAGCTTCGGGGATACGGTTTCCTGGCTATGATGCTTCAGCTGCCTATTGTCGCGATTCAAAAGTCTCGCTTTTTCCGTGGCCGGACAATCCTTAATGTAAGCCGTTACTTGTTTGCTTTAGTAATTGCGGTCCTCGCTGACTCCCTTCCTAGAATGCCTTCTTCTGGGTCTCAATGATCTTGGGTCTGTCTATGGTAAGCTCTACATCTTCACTCTGAGATATGCAACATCACAGTATATTTGGTGCTAACCCTGCTTGCTTCTTAGATGTGTGCATTATACGTCCTTGTTTAAGACGGAGGTTTGGTGCGCATGTGCCTAGACACGGCAAACTAGGAAGTAAATTGGGCCAAGGAAGTCATAGAACCCTGGCGGCTTGCTATTAATATATGATACCATTACTAGGTGTCTCCTGCTCTTGTACATAGCTTCCGTTATCTTTTTGTCAGCACTCTGATTTGATATTGATATTGCCTTGTAATGAAGTATACCACTTGCTTACACCGCCGTAAAAAGAAAAGTCAGCCGTTTATGTGGCCTCTGTCCTTTGCGAACTTGTACTTGGATAATTGAATATCTATTTACTTCAGCAGGATATTGTTGGATATTGTTTTAGTAGTTAGTCATTAGTATAGCCTTGCCCAGGTGTCCGGCCATATCGAGAACATTTCGCCGATCAATTGACCTTCGAACATATGGATGTTCGGCCATAGGAATCTGTTGTCATCTCCCAAGCCCAGCAGACTGCTCTGTTGGCAGGGAACAGCTTACGAGATCTGATGTGCGTTGGACAAGTAAATCTATTCTTGTTAGCATCTTGCCTCAAAATGTGGGACAAGAAGCATACGAAGAGCCTCCGTAAGCAAATGGAGACCATGAGAAGACAACTCTAATCTTTTAATCTCAACTGACAACAGCCATGACCTAGTGCACTATTTGCGGCACAACTATCAGGTCTACATCCCAAATTCTTTGTTTTTTAACAAGATAACCAAGATCCTAGACTTGGATCTTGGTCTATTATATGAATTGAGTTCCAACGTGAATCTTCTAGCTACTGCAGTATTCAGATACATAAGACATAGCAATGAACTCTCGGTCATATCGAGCGGGCAGAATATAGCACAGGTAATCACCCCAATCCTTGCCTCGGTGGAAGCTCTTGTATGCCCTAAAGTATTCCCACCACTCTGGATACCAGCCAGCAAACTCCCAGTCTAGGATAGCTGTAACCTGGTAATCACTGTTTTCATGCACAAGGATATTCCGAGAGGAGAAATCAGAATGGGTGAAGACAATTTCATGGCCATCCACCAGTGCATGTTCTGCATAGTATCTGAGTGGAGCTGATAGTCCTGAACTGAGGTCGTTTAGAATCCACTCGTTGCTCAGTCAAAGGGTCCTCCATAGATAGGCCCCCACTCGCCCATTGAGACAGTACCACGATTAATGGCACCAATATAATTGCCTTTGACGTTTCGTAGTTGGGAGATATAGCGAAGGAGTTGCTCAGCAATTGATTGTTTCTGGCCAGGACTTAGGGTGTCCCAAACTTCGTCTAGTGACTTACCAGGCATATAGTCCATGACAAAGCCAACCACTTTACCATTCTCCAAACATCATGAACTTTTGGCACTGGGATTGTAGTATTTTCAGCGATGAACAAAAGGGTTGGAGCTTCATGGACCGGAATATCATCGGCTTTTTTCACCACAAGATATTCGCTGATTCGAACGATCTTGCGGCGATGAAAGGTATAGAGTACCTCTCCTTCATCATCTCTAACCTTGGACCTAGCTTCTGCCTCTTCAGCTTTGATTTTTTTTTTTTTTTGATTCAAGATTCGGTGCATAAGTTCAGCTTTCAATGCAGCTTTGTCTTTAGAAAGGGGCTTGGTCGAAGGTGCAGCTTCATCCTTTGTCTGAGTCCTGACTTCATTCACGGCTTCAGTATGATTTCTTGCATTGTCGCTTCGCTCAGTATTATCTTCGGCAATAATATGCTCTGCTTCTGTAGCGTTGTCTTGGTCCATTGCTTCGTTCTTCTGTAGTTTGTGAAATTAAGGATTGATCCTTCTGAGCAGTCGAGCAGGGGCTTCGCTACCTATATCATTTGCTGAAACTACAAGCCAGTAAGTGAGCTCTGGAAAGACTGGAAGGAGGTTCTCTTGAAGTGTTCAGGTGTTACGAGTTTTCAGCTGAAGCCAAATACAACGGGTGCTTGAGATATTCTGGGTGCCTTAAATCGAAACTAGGCCTGGATACGGGCGGTGTGATGCGTGGGGTTACCTAAATTTAACATAGAAATTCATTTAAGTAGACTCTTTGTCAAATTACAATGCGCCGGCTACTAGGGCTTTCTCTATGGGTTGGTAATTAATTCGTGAATGGAGTTAAACCTGATTTCGAATACTATATAACAGATCAGTATTTTCAGTCTTCTAAACATTTCCTTAAACTGAACGGACAACTTCCTAAGTACAACAGTCTACATAGGTATTCTTAGAAAATCCAACCATACAGAAACTTATGAGGCTTTCTCCGTCACTTTCCGTGGCCCAATTTCCAGCCCAACCGACATATCCGTCTTACAAGTCGGAACAAATAAAAAAAAAAGGAAGAAAGAAACAAAGAAACTAACTAACAAGGTTGGCATATCATATCATTGAAAAAGCGTAATTCGTTAACTGGATTTCTCCAATAGGGTAGTCCACAGGGTATCTAGAAAGAGCCCGGGAGCAACAACGTATAAAAAGTGGAAAATAAAACAAGAACGTAAGAACGGAAGAAAAATGTACTCATCAGTAAACAGAACCCGACAAGACAATTTCATACGCCACAAGTGCAGGATTCGAGGCACAGATGCGACACACCATCCACACCCATACCCGCCCTAATGCGCCATCGGCAATGGCAAAAGATACACCCCGGTCCCCTGGACAGGCCTCTCGTCCTGACTGCGCGGGGATAAGTAGACCAGGTGCCACGAATGGGAATCGAAGTCCTCCCCCATCCTTGGAAGAGTCCCAATATCTGGTGGAACGACGGATATGCGAAAAGCGGAGAATTGGAAACGCCCCGACTCCTGATAAGATTTAAAAAAAAAGAAGAATAGATAATGTTCAAAAGTAAAACTGTAGGCGTGATTTGTCGTGATCATGTTTCATGGGTTTGGTTGAATTAATAGGCAGACTGGCGTCTCCCCACAGCAGGAGGACGATATTCTTCGTCGTAGTAATAGGTGCGTCTCGGCGAGTAACTGACATCATCTTGCTTGTATACCCGGGCGTACTTGATGTCCTTCTCTTTCGGAGTAGTAGCGATGTATTCAACCGGGTGAGGGCGAGAAGAAGGGCGCGCAGACCGAGTCTCAACCCGAGGCACGGCTTCCGTGTAAGTACTGCTTCGCTTGGGTGGCTGTCGTATAGAGGATACGCGATCCCGGTCGGGGGATCGCGCCGAGCGGTACTTTGATGACTTTGGTTCTACCACGACGTGGTCTGGTTCCTGGACGATCTTGTAGCGGGTTGCGGTTTTGGGAGGAGAGCCCCTCGGAAGCATTTCAGGGGTACCGGGACTGGAATAGCCCGAGTCGTTGCGGTCGCGCACTTTAGAAGTTCGCGATGGCAGTGGCTCGTGGGCCATGTCGTAGAGTGTTGAGTCGCGACTCTCCCGCTTTGGACGGGTGAAGCCAGAGGTGGTTGCGGAGCGGGCGTTGAGGAACGAAGGGCGGATAGACGCCTTGATACCCGGGGAGGTTGCGGAGGGTTGCATCTTGGGTGGCTTGACCTCGTAGGTACGGGACGACTCTAGGTGCTCATAGGATCTGTCGCGCGACGAAGAACGACGGCGGGTGCGGGTGGACCGTCCCGCGGATCGCGAAGCGGACGAGTCTGGTTCCGCCGAGTCGTGACCATGGTACCGTCGTGGGGACTTGGACCTCCGGGCTTTGGATGCGATATAATCCTCCGCATTGAAGTATTGACTATCGATCTTGGATTGCCAGTGATCCGACACATCATCGTCCTCGTCGTAGCGGCGTTCACGGCGACGAGAGGACTCTGATGGTCGGGATCGTGAATCACGCTCTCGGCGGGGCGTTGAAGTTCGTTTGCGAACGTAGCGGGGAGCACTGGAATCAGATGCATCGTCGGATTCTGCATAGACTTCAAAGGTAGTGTCGTACTTTGCCTCGTACTTTGCCTCAGCCTGTCGTTGTCGTCGTCGCTCCTGATCGCGCGTCTTCGCACGGTCGGAATGCGTCGCCTTGGCCGTCTCCCGCTGTTCCTTCGCTTGGTGATACGTGCTCATCGGTGTTCGAGCCTTCTTCTTCTCCTCTGTCGCTTTCGTCTTTGAGCGCACGCCAAACTCTTCGAATTTGCGAGACATGGAGCGTGGTTCGTCCGTAAATCGCATGGCTTCCTCAAAGAAGACTTCCATCGGGACTCTCTCCTCCACGACGTGGCCATTGCGGAATTCGCGATTGCCGGATCCATTCCCTCGCGGAGAGTTGTACGCGGACTCTGTTCGTCTGCGTTCCAGCAGTTCACGCTTCAACTCGGCTATCTTGACTTTTTCATCATGTTTAGTCCGTCGGACATCATCTGAGAGAAGTTCATAGGCTTGCTGGACTTTCTGGAATTCATCTTGGGCAGCAATCCGCTGCGACTCATCTTGAATCTTGTCCGGGTGGCACTTGAGAACCCGCTTTCGGTGGGCGGCCCTGATTTCAGGGATAGTGGCCTCCTTGGCGACACCAAGCACTGCATATGGGTCTATATCTGGTGGTGAGGACATTGTAGGCAATGTTTGTTTCCAATGCCCTAGATTGAATGGGATGAAAGAAGATAAAAGTGAGAGAGGGGAAAGAGGCGGTGGAGAGATATGGAATGTCAACAACCTGATGTTGACGTAGCAAAGATTCCACACCGATCTAGAATGAACTGGAGATGATTTGCAAGAAAAAAAATAAAGGGAATTGTCAACAATATGGCCAATTTGCCATCAGAATTAGACCAAAGACCAAGAGAAAAGAGACCAAAAAGAAGGGACAATGAATCAGCTGTCAGAGTTGCCGTCTATTCTCAGACTCCGAGCCAACCGAATAATGTCAGGGGCGAATGACTGCGCCACAAAAGAAGATCTGGAATTTATTGTGATAATGAGACATAGAGAGTCACATAGACATAGAAAAAGATCTTATCAAGACGTTCACAGACAAAGACGCCCAATCTAATATCCTCTTCTTTCAAATAGGAGTAATCATTAAAATCTTTCTCTTCTCCATGACTTTCACCGGTTATTGGCCTGAGCACCTCATCCGATTTGTTGAAATTCCTGCCAATCAAGCCTCGCCTGAATATTTGGCCTATGGGGCGATCAATCAACACGAGGACCACCCTCCAGTCCACAGGGATCGCCCCCCTCTTCTTGAAATCGTCACGACGCTAATCTTTCCTTCTTCTCGATTCAGTCTCTCCTGCATATCCCCAACTTTTCCTCAGTGCCTGCGGGTTTTTGGCCATTTTAGGTTCGGTTGCCTCACTAACGGAGGAATTTCGCTTTATTTCGCTTTATTTCGCTTTATTTCTCTTTATTATTTTACTTTTATTTCTTTTTTCGCCTTGTCCAAGCCACACCCCACAGCCAGTCATATCCAACTGGCTTGTTTAACCTGGAACGGTTAATTGGGTGTTTAGTATACGTTGTATCTGGACATCTTACGAAGTAAAGAAAATCAGTGCCTGCCTTGTTCCATGGTAAGGTCCCCCGCCTTCCCGAAAGGTTCCGTGGGCCTTAAATTTCCTTCTCTAAAGAATGTGCATGGTTTCTATATATAGTTATCAGATTATCATGTTTCAATATCCAATATTTCATTCTCATCCTGAATTCAATGGGAATGCAGCTCTCTAATATTACTGGAAATATCTCGGAACACGAAAGTACACTGTTCAGGCATTGATTTGCACCCAATAACTTCCCAAGCTAAAACAGCTGGCACAGCTGGCATTTGTCCCCCACCGGCCCCATTATACAACGTGTCTTTAAACACCCCACCCGAGACAACCTATCTTCCAACCATTAATCTGTACTTTGTAAACTCTCTTGATGAAACGACGTTGTACTCCCGTACTCCTTCTGTCTCGGACAATCCGGCACTCCGGCCTATCCATTGGTTCCAAGTCATCTGGACCCAGTACTGCGGTCCTCGCGGCGCAGTAACTATCCAGACCGATGCTGAATGGAGCTGCCTATGCCAGCCTGGTTCATGACAAGTTTATTGGAAAAAGTGCAAATGCTGAGCGAGTTGACGCCGGGTCAGCATCATCGTATTTCTATCTTACTCCTCTGCGTTACTTCGCTATTGTCTAAATAGTCCCAATTTAGCTAAGAATGCCATGTAATCTTTCTAGTTTAGTTAACTAGTTACATAGTGTTAAGCGTTCTATCTCCTAAGGCAGGAATGGCCCACGATCCATTCAAATTTCCGCCTCAATTATCGTACCTCTATAACCCTTACTATTTTATCTCCCTGACTCTGTCACTTGACAGTTTCCTCTGTGATAGTGATTGTACTATACCTTTTCTCGGTCTGGGGTTGGTAGATTTATTCCCAGGCGATAATAGCACTAGACCACTCTCGCTCTTTCCAACCCGACTGCACCAGCCGAATCCATAATCCTCCGATCCCATCAGTTGTGCTGGTGAGGTCACACAATGCCTCCCTCCGAAACACAGGGTTGTAACCTTATACGCTTAAATCGTGATCTACAGCTACCCCTCTTCCCTGACAGTCACGCAACCCCGCTAGGACTGGGGTTGGGTGAATTCATGATTGGACGTTAGCAGGCTAGAGGATAGAAGGCGTGTGTGTCGTATAGTTAGAATATGAGTAACACCAAAAAGTCGGAGCCGGCCAGGTAACCATGTAAACAAGTTACGGCTAGCGATATATAGAGTGCATACCGAAATGCACTATATAGGCCATGGCTGGCTCAAAGTGGTTTTCGGTTTGCTACCGGGGAAACAGGAA